TGACACTACCGGCCAGTATATAGCCGATGGTCTTTTTCATGTTGTCGAATATGCGTCGGCCCTCCTCTACGGCCGTCACAATTGTGGCGAAATTGTCGTCCAATAGTATCATATCTGCCGCCTGTTTACTCACATCCGACCCTATGTTTGATTATGGTATATAAAGTTTAATTTAATTACATTTTATAAATATGCTTAATAATTATGTACAGGTAAACAATTTGTTGAGTTATTTAATACCAAGTTTATAAAAGTTGTTAATTAGTCAAAAGGCTACACAATAATCATTTATTCAATTAATGTTTAATTCATAGACTATCAGTATTTTTACATGAGTTAAAGAAACTATTGTATATTAGCTTAAAAATGCAGCTGTCTATGTAATTTTCGGTTACTATAGTCATATACAGTATTGTCAATATATTTAGTAAAACTTCTTTCATAATGTTTTAATTGCAGGAATATATTTATTGTTTATGAATTGCAATGATTGATAAATTTAAATTAATAATACAAACTTTTAAATATGAGACAAAGTGTATTATTTAATTAATGTTTTAATTTACTGAATTATGTATTGTATTTATAAACTGTAAAGACTGACTGATTTCTATTATTATTATATGGATAAATAATATAAATTAATAAAAATTGGATGCCTGTAATCTTATCATTACTTTAAATTAAATTATTTATATAAAATAATTTTTAAGTTAAAATCTAAAACATATTAATATTAAATAAATAATTATTGATGCGCCAATATAGACTGTAAAAAAACAATTCTAAATTTTCAGTTACAATTAAATTATAAACATAATTATATTGAATTGGAATAGCAAGTAAGAGTTTTAATGAGATTGCTTTATCATACAATACATTATTTAGAATAGTTTTTATTTTTTAATATAAAAATAATACTGATAATGTTTGTTTATAAAGTATATTTGGTTATGAACTGTCTATAGAGACAGTAAGAAAATAATATTAGTTTTTAAAGTAATAGTTAAATGATTATGTTTATGTTCAATGAAACTTATTCAAAATACGACAAAAATAATTCATCGAGAATTATAAATGTGTCAAATTTTTACAAAATTAAATATTATTATTATTAATGTTAATAGTTAATTAATTGTACGCACCGGTAATACCCATCGCGACCCCTATATTGGCTTTCTTAAGGGCGGGCGAGTCGTTGACTCCATCGCCAGTGACGGCCACTATTTGGCCCAAGAATTGGCAGTTCTCGACGATTCGCAGCTTCTGTTGCGGTGACGTCCGGGCGAACACAATCTCCCGGTAGTCGTGCAGTATTTCCCTGAGCTCGG